GCGACCTCACACAAAGATGACAGCACCACTGCACTCTACTCTCAGCAAGGAACAATATAAAAGGAAGAATGAATTGTTTTGGTGATGAAATGAGGGAGTTGGGTTGTCCTTAAATAGCCCAGGGAAGAAGAAGACACAGGTTTGCAGCTTCCGTGATTGAGCGACAATTCGGAATCGGCGTAATTGAACAGGGCGCCGTTTGGTGTGTAGTCCCTGATTGGGACTAATTTTGGTCCCAGTTAGGGTACACTTTTTGTTCCAACTTTCTCCAAATTGAAATCTGTTTGCACCGTTGCGATCAGACAGTCGAACTCTATCCAACGATATAATTTTTATATTCATTCATTATACTTTTTCCGACACCACATTTTTGGGTGTTTGACTTTAACAGAGTAAAAATTGGTTTAATTGACCTTTCTCATAAAAGGTTCTCTCATTTAATTCATATAATTTGTTCTCATGATTTATTTCAATAAATCATTTTAAAGTTCATATTATAAGCAATTTATTTATTTATTCTTGATTTGGGTCTGTACTCATGTTCGCAATCAAGACCACACAAATACTCAACATATTGGATTTATCTCTATGAGACTTATCCTGATTTGTGATATTAGATGTCAAAACACATTTCATTTCGGCCCAAAGCCCAATAACTATTTATTTTAATCGAAACAAATTTGACTAATTGAATATTTATTCATTAAAAATTTTAGGGTATGTTTTAGGGCGTTACAATGGCAACCACCCATAGAATCAGTTCAACTCTGAAGACAACTATTCTTCTTCCTCTTCAGTGTTGAACTCACCCATGTCTGCATTGCTAGTCCCATTCTGTCCAAGAACTGTAACTATCTTCTGAATTAGGCTTGGGTCTATGGTCAATGACTTAGGAAGGTTCCCTGCCCTGGCTAGACTGTCTTTCCCCATATGTGGCAGCCTGTAGTTGTTACCTCCTTCATCTTCCATGACTTTAGTCAATGCTTGCTGATAACTCAACCACACTTTGTTTAGGGTTTCAGGCCTTAGAGAACTGTATGCTCCTTTCACTGCCTCTAACAATTCAGTTACTGTGTTTGGAGCACATTGCTCTTTTAAAGACTGAATTGCTCTGAAAAATCCAAGGTCCAACACATTTAGGTCAAGGGAGTTGGGGGGTTGATTACCTAAAGTGATGTCAAACCCATTGGTGTTACCTGCTGCCACAAAGTCTGAGTCTATTCCTTGGATGTGTGGCCTTGCATTATCTTGCTGAATGTGTATTTCTTTGGATAATTGTGATGGCCATTTCTCTTGGATAGCTGGAATGACTTTATTGATTAGCATATCTTTTGTGATTTGTTTGGTAACACTGGTGATTGCTTTCACCTCCACCTCCCCCTTTGCCCTGTTCTTGCTGTTCCTTTTAGCTTTGACTCTTTCTGTGAAATGAAAGATCCCCACTTTCCCATCCCACAACACCTCTTCATTCTCTCCAAAAAGTGGTCTCCCAACCACACATAAGAACATGACTTTGGCTATGAATCTTTTTGATTTACATGCTCTGTAAGGGTCTGCTTCATCTAGAAGGAGGTAAAACCTCTGGGAAGTTTTAGACATAAAGAACCACTTCTCATTGATGTGTAAAACGTTGTTAAATGTTTTAAACTTAGGCACACTACCCATGCTGTAAGGGTCAACCTGATCTAAACAGAACCTCAGCCTTGTGATCTTATTTGCATAAGTTAAATATGGGTTGATAGCATTAGAATGGCTCCTAAGCATACCTCTTTTAACCCACTCATGAACTGTCGACTTAGGCTGCCCAATTGCTGCTGCTAATGCTCTCAGATTAGTCCTCTTCCTCAGGGGAGTGTCTACAACAACTGTTAAATACAGAACAACCCTCTTTCTTCCACTATTTCCTGCAATCTTGCTACTCACATCAATGGTAGCCCCCCGCTCTAATTGTTTCTTTACAATTGCCCAGATTTTACTGACACTTTTCCTAGAAACTTTGAAGTTTGAAACAAGTTTGGTAATCTGCCCATACTGAGCTGAGAATGAATCGTCTGGATTCTGTTTTGAATGTGATAGTAGTGCATCACTAATGAGTTGCCTCGTGTTGTTGTCCAAGTTCTTCGTGTTAATCTCACGGTTCATTATGCGTTATATATGCAGGGAAAAACTGCTCAGCACGGCAGAGAATGAAAGAGGAAAAAAGAAGAAGGAAGGAAATCAAGAAGGAAATGAAGAAGAAGAGGAGGGGAAGAGCATGATGAAGAAAAGAAGGGGCTGCTGAAAAAGGAAATTGTCTAGGGGGGTTTAAATGTTTGTAATGAACCCTTTGAATGGGTTTTAGACCTTTTTTGGGCGGGTGTTAAAAATTTTATGAGGGAATGTGAATTAATTTTGGATATTTTTGTGATGTAAGTTGTGATTTGATGTAACTTTACCCATACTTTAAGTAATGATTATAAGTAGTCATTCCACTTCCTCATTTTCGGCCAGGAAACTGCCCCCTTCCCCCATTATTTAAACAAGGGTATTTTAGTCTTTCTATAGCCATTTTCAAGCCTTCTTAAAAATAAGGAAAAGTCAAAACGGGAACATCATTCCTGGACGGAGGGAGTAATAGATTGATTTTGTAACACCTAATTTCGTTCAGGTCTGCATCACCTTTTAGACTAAAGTATTGATTTGGTAACATCATAATTTAAAGCATTTAAAATTTTATATAAAACAATTGTGCAAAATACTTTGAAATAACAACAAAATATAATTATTCAAAACAGTACGAAAGTGATTTGTAAATTACAACAGTATGGTCAACCTATAACATGTGATAAAATCATTTACTCAAGTAGTAAACTTGTGCGCGTTCACGCATCGCCTCCATCTTAATACCCTCTAGGGTTGGCTTCACATTTATTCTTTCTCATACCTACGTGTAGAAAGATGAAAAAGTTTACACGATCAGCAATGAAACTGAGTGGTACCATGACACAACAAAAGAATTCACAGAATAATTTCCATCACAATATCAATCACATATATATGTTTAAACACTCACTTTTTCATATTTAAAACCCGTCTTTGTTATTTTGTAACGAATATAGTCAACTTAAAAATATCCATTATTTAGATCTGCATAGATGTCCTGTAACACCCTAATCCGTCCAGGTCTGCAGCCTCTTTCAGACTAAAGTATTAACTTGGTAATCGTAAAATTTAAAACTTTTCAAACACTTTTATTTATCACGATAATATTTTTCATAACATATACAGTGCGGAGTTTTCAATATTGCGGAAGCTTAACAAATCATAATTATAAACATAATTTATTTATGTTCTTTAATTCAAAACCATCACATCCATTCCGACAATCTCGCCTCCGTCTGCCTCCAGAATCTCGTCACATCATTCTTTCTATTAACCCGCATGTAGCAAATAAAACATACTACACGCTCAGCGGTGAAGCTGAGTAAGCATATCTAAAGCGTCGAACATCCATATAAATTGAACCCAAATTCATAATCAAATCATTTGATATCATGCACAAAGTATTTAGTTCAAATATACAATAATCAATATTCAACATTCGTCATTCAATAATAATATCCTTAAACTATTCTTAGTCTAAGGCCAATCTTTTTAATGTTTACCAACTCTTAAACTAGTTCTAGTTTAAGGTACTTCTATCCAACTCTTAAGCTAGGTCATTAGTTTAAGGTACATATATTCCGATTGATTTACCAACTCTTAAACTAGCCTTTGCTTAAGGTACAAATCCAGAAAACCGAACAGTAGGATACTGACTGTCGGGTTGGGTGGTATCCCCAAACGA